CCCCCCACCCCCACCCACACACACACACACACAGGGGACCTAAGGGAGATTTCTATTCCCTTTGGGCTGCTGAATAACAAAAGGGAATACAGCAGGATCGAAGAATCTGGCTCTGAACCTTCAGCAATAGAGTGCTCCTTAGCACTCTGCTTGGACATTGGTTCCAGGGTGGCTCAATACAAGAGAGTTCTGTCTGCTGGAACACTGGGAGAGATTCTGCCCCCTGCTTCAGCAACACATAGGAAATGTAAACAGCCCACAAGGAGAAGGGGGAGAATTTCTTCAGTGCAGCTACAGTATCAGGTTGCCAGAGGCACCCCCACGCAAGCCCTGGCATATTAATAAAAAGTGAAAATGCCAATGAAACTCCAATTTCAGTTTTTTCCCGGGAAGTTAAGCTATAGCCAAAACTCCTAAGTCTGTCTTCCGTACTACAGTCCAGATATACACTTTTTAAAACCAAAAGAGGTTAAAGACTTAGAACCAGATCCTCAAAAGGCATTTAGGAACTTAACTCCTATTGAAATCAAATACCGTTGAGAAGCTGGGCATTGACATTTGTACACATGATCAGTTGGTATATTACAATCATTCCTTAGCATACTGAACATGTTTAACATGGTGCATGTTTTTCTAGTAGTTCACTTTATCCAGTAAATGAAAAATCAAATTACCCTTTTACTTATCCTATTTGTTTACATTTTGCAATCCTTTTTAAAAATTGTAGTCCCTCAAAAGGGGATGAAAACGTCACAGGGCACAGATACACTGGAAGCACGCTTGGCTTGAGTTTCTAACTGAACTTTTTAATAAGGTAGAACACAGTTAACATTTTCCACTGAAATGCAGTTATTCCCATGAATAAATTATTGTATACTCTATTGAGTGGAGAACAAAAATTCCACATACAGAGGATGTACGTTTTTTTAACTTGTATTTCTTTATCCATTACAACTACTATTCTGAATGATGTACAAATTTTCTGCTTTTCTTGAATTTTTCATTTGAAGGTAAATTACTACACGTATCAGGATCTGGCACACACACACACACACACAAAAAAGTATTGTTTTGAGAGTTCTATTTCTTGAACTGCCTCCACTGCAGCACGTTTAAACAGTTATTTTAATGACTGTAATTAATTAGATGGCTTAGTCAAAGCCCACTATCAGCTGTGCAGTTCTTTGGTAAAGGCATGGCAACAGACTCTTTGCTTTCAGTCAGTGCCCTTGGCTGATGGATAAGCACGCTAAATTTAACCCCTTGGTTAGCTGCTGCCCTAACAAAACCGCTGTTTGCGGTCATCGTGATGGCTTTTAAAGTGTCTCCTGTCCCAAAGATGGCTAGAGAGCGGCTATTGATTTTTGAACTAGCCACTAGTCTTAAGGCACGGTCAGAGGGCTGGTCTGGCACCACATTAATTCTCTTCATGAGAGAGATGGCTCGATCTTTCTCCCCAGGTCCTCCTAGAGTTTCTAAGATTGACTGAAAATCTTTGACTGCGGATTCACAAGCGAACAGCTCCTTGCCCTTCATGAAATCCTCTAACTGAGGCAGGACTCTCTCCTTCCTTTCCTGTGCTGCCTGCTCCGTTAACACTTTCTCCTTAAAACTGAAGTAGCAGCCACCATAGCTAAGGGAAGAGACATATGTAATTAAAGTAGTGATGTCCAAGTTAACCCTATTGCACACATCTACTTTGATCTCTGTAGGAAACGCAATGCTGGCTACTAAATTCTCCCGGTCTACTCTGGTCACCTGCAGGACCTCAGGGCTTTCTTCATCAGATTCACTGGCACTTAGGTGTCTCTCTTCAGTCAAGTGCTCTGCCAAAGAGTTAACAGCAACTACGTCTCCCCGCACGGATATGCCCATCTCTTTCAGCCTCTCTGCCATAGGACTGGACACACTATTATAAAAAGCAAAGATAATATGGGGGTTGCTATATTGCACTGGTTGCTGACGGCTCGCTTGCAGGAAGTCCTCCGCCTGCTCAATGATGCTTTTGTCGCCATACTGGCCCCGGCCCAGCCAAATATTGTGAAGAGCTTCAGCCTTTCGACCAATTGCTTTCACCCAAGTGTGGCCACCATTTGCAACAACATCTACCACCAGCATTTGCTTTTCTCCAAAGCAGTCTTCATAGGCAAAGACATGAAGGACACTGACGACCTCCTCCAGGTTCTCTGCTGACTCAATTATGGCTCGGAGATGTGTGAGATTGGTACTCTGCAGATGGGACTCCTTAATGGCCACCTTCCCCGCCTCCACCCTGTGCAAGAATTTCAACTCGGCCTTCAATTTGCTGCATAGCTTTGCTCCACCTTCTATACCTCCTTTCTGTGATCTGGAAAGGGCTTCTGCTCTCTTCATTAATTCCTTAGCAACGGCGATTCTCTCACAAAGCAATGACTGCACAGACATGTTGACAGCATTATTTCTATCAGATGAAAGCAAAAGAGATCATCATTACTACAAGTTCAGTGACAAAGACAATATAGAAAGAGGCTTTTCCAATACCATACATCGGAGCTTTGCAGTGGATTTTGTGCAATGACTATCATAGTTATGTGGCGTGGGCATTAAAAACTGTAACACCTTGGCCAAGCTCTTAAAAAAAAAATGACTAAAGATTTGATGGGGCCTGATTTTCTGCAGACGAGTTCTCAGTGTTTTCAGAAAAATCCAGGCCTTTAAAAAGGTGTCTTCCACGATTCTTCTATTTGAGTGTCCAACATCCCTAACCGTTTCTGAAAAACTCAGCCCTCACTTCTAAGCTTATTCACACAATCAAATGTATACAAGGTTCATTGTGCTCTAAGGCTCCACCCTCTCCCTAAGTTTACACACTATCGTTCTAATTATTATTTTTAATTGCTTATACTGCACCCTGGGAGCTCATTGTGCTTTACCATTTTTAAAGACAGCCTCCTGTCTCTCGTTACATTGTAGAACTGCTGCTAATTAAGCAAGTAAACCTAGAAGACTGTTGCATGGCTGACCTTTAATTAAGAGAGAGTTTCAGATTACAAGGTGTGTAGTATAGTGGATTGACTATAGGCCTAGGATCCAGGAACTCCTGTATGGTAAACTAGCTCTGTGACAGATTAATTGTATGGCATTGGGCATGTCATTCCGCACCAACCCATGCCCCCTTCCCCCCCCAATCAGTATAATGGGTATAATATTATTTACCTACTTCGTCACGGTGTGGAAAGGATCAGTTACTTAATATGGGAAGACGTTCGGGGGGGGGGGGGTGCGGAGGGGGAAGAACACAGAGCATCAAATATTATTGCAAGTAGTTTTTGTATTTACCACAGGGTAATATACATATACACCCCCCTATCATTTTCAGACAAGGTTAGATGCACACTAGTTGAAGAGAACCAGGTGTTGATGACAGAGACAACTGGAACCAGACACAGGAACTAGGCACTCCCCCTGAATATGGATCTGCTAATACAGGTTCTGAGCCCAGATTTGTGGAATCTTTGAGCCCATATGCAGTTGGGGCCACACTTACAACTAACTATCTCTACCCAATATCACCAAAAATCTTCTAAGCACAAAAATCCTTATTCAATCCATCATCATCATCGTCACATGACGAACTCAATCTCTTCAGGCTCTTCACCACAAAAAAATAAAGAAAATAGCAAAACAATCTACCTCTCCCACCACTAAGATGGCATTTAGAAACTCCTGAAGTACCTTCATTGGCTCCCTATTGCCTATCAAATCAAATGTAATCTCCTCACATCACTCTTAATGTTCTCTTTTCATTTCTAAATGAGTCTTCTTTCCTGCTGCCCCTTTTGCCTGATGCTTCCTCCGGCCATATCTGAAAAACCAGTTCTTCAGTGCTGCTCATTACAAAACCCAGACACTTCACAACAGCACTCCAGAGTTTATGTTAAAATAATCCTACTTGATTCCCAGTCTCCCAAGCCATCATTTGCATCTGTACATAAGACTGACCAGTGAGTACACTCAGTTTTGCAATAAATGTGTTGGCTATATGTTTTGATATCGCTACACAATTCATAACAGGAAAAATTAAATGCACGCAAATAATCACATTGTCATCATTGTAAGGTCAGACCAACGTGCAACATGGCAGAAATGAAGAACAACCAGCTCTGTATACTCCTGGGGGAATTTTGCACCACTGCGCGTGTGCAGAATTCATGTCCCCCACAGATTTCTTTGCTTCCCCGCTGAAATGTGACTTTCTGACAGGGAAGCTGCAAGGGCAGTCACGCCACACTCCCTAGCTGCGCAGATACATTTTTTCAGACATCCGGAGCAGCCGGTGGAGAGGTAAATCACCACAGGGCTGGGGACACCCCAGCCACTGAGCTGGGATCAGCTGCTAATCCCAGCTGGGCTGGAGGCAGAAGAGAGTGGGACTTCCTCTTTCCGTGCAAGGAGTTGCTGGGGCGGTGTCAGATTCACCCCCACAAATCTCCCCCAGCTGCAGAAAGCTCAGCATCCTACCCTGCTTCCTGCCCCCAACCCTCCTCAGCTGTGGGGGGAGGGGTCACTGTGCAGGGAGCTGCTCCCCCATCTGCCTAACCCTCATGCTTTGGACCTCCCATACCTAGACACCCCCACCAAGCCTCACCCCAGACACTCAGAACCCCCCTACCCCTCCATACCCAAACCCCACCTCACTGAACCTCAATCCCTGCATCTAGTGCCCCTGGCACTCAGCCCCCCTGCCTGCAGACCCCCACTGAGGTCCCTGTACTCAAACCCCCACCCCACCAAGCCCCATTCCCCCAGCACCCAGACCCCTCAGCTGAGCCCCAACACTTTCACTTGGAAGCCCCTGCAGGGTGCCATTGCTCCTCCCCCCAGCTACAGCCCCTACAAGAGCAGAGGACGGGAGCACGCAGCACAGGCTGGGGGAGGGAAGCGCTCACCCCACCCCTGCCTGCCCCTCCTGCGGTCTGGCCTCCGGCTCCTTGCAGCAGACACCACCTGGAGAAATCACATAGGCGCAGACAGGGAGGAAGCGAAGCCACCATCTTAAGCCAGGGCAAAATGATTTAAATACCCGGCTGCTGCTCCCGTAGCAACACCCTCCTCCCCCCCTTTCCCAGGGCTCGCCCCCTGCTTATTGCTGAGCAAGTTCCCACCCACTTCCCCGGCAATCAAACCGCACCGCGCCACGCCACTAACCCAGCAGCAGCTCGTGACTGCGTGTAACTAGCCCCAGGAATTGGCACTGAGCAGCGAGCCACCGGGTTTCCTTTGCATGCCTGAGTTCAGGTGATTCTTCTGTGTAGTTTTACCCAATGCACAAAACCTCCCCTAATGCAGGGGTCTCAGGCTGCAGGCTCGCGCTATAAAGGGGCATTGAAAAGTATGTAGCAGGCTAGAAATCTCATTGAGAAAGGCCACACAGCCAAATCCATCCATCCGTCTAAACAGGCCCTTCCACCTGCTTTTAAAAAAAGAGCCCCCACCCCGAGTGAGGTGCGTTCGGATCCCCCAAAGGGTTTTGCCTGGGCTCCTGTCTCCTTAAATGGAGGGAGTGTCCCTAGCAAGGAAGTCTTGTTTACTGGTGTATCTCGACCGAACTGCTACCCTCAGTCTTTCTCTCGATGAAGGTAAATCCCTTCACCAGGCCCGTGCGTTAGTCTCGGAGTGTTCCCCTCCTGGGAAGGAGGGTTTTCCTCTGAAGTCCATCACACTATTCTATAGCTGTCCTTCCTCAGGGTCCCCTTCGCAGCCCGAGCGTGGGCAATACTTACACCTGAAAGGGGAGGGGATCAGCCCCGCAGCACATGCCACGCTCCTTCCCCCGGTGCAACAGCAGCTGCTCCCCCTAAACCCATCCATAGAAAGCCAATGGCAAGGCCCACTCCGGCCCTTCCCTTTCGGCGAGCTAAGCGGAAACCCGGCCTGGCTGCCGCACGCTCTATCTTCTCAGCCGCCTGCAGCGCCACCTAGCGATCCAGGCCAGGGCCTTACTGTAGGGATAAGCTGAAACCCCTTCATTCTTACCTTGTGTTTTTTATTTACTTTAGGGGGCTATAAGGGTGAAGGTGCATTACAGAGAATTTATCCTGCCGCTACCATTCATACCCATATCTGTTCCATAGCTCTAAAAACTAACCTCCCAAGAAGGGAATGGATATATTTTTCTCTTCCTCTGGATAGAGTTACTTTAGCATTTGCCAGAATAGGACATGTTATGTACCTCAGGCTGCAACAGACAGATTCCCCCTCCCTCCCCTGCTTCCGGAAGAATGTCACAAATCGCTGCCCCCAGACATCCTGCCGACCTTTCAAGTTAGTTCAGCTCATGGTCTCTCAGCCCGGCACCCTACCCCCTCTAAAAATAGCATTCAAAAAGTAAGGGGGGAAACAGATCAGAATAAAGGGATCAGTATTATCTTTGGTAAAAGCGACAGCACAGAACTTACCCTTTATGACAAGAAACGATTTTACGATTTGTAAGGCCCAAAACAAGAATGCAGGGCCTCTACCTCCACTATGGGAGCTTCTTTATTTGAGACCCAATGGATCACAAGGACATCTCTGCTCCTCAGTGTTCGAAGGGGTGACATCTGGACCGTCCTGGTATAACTAGTAGAAATATATAAGCAAACATGCACGAGATTCTCTGTGAAATTCTTTAGAAAGAGGGAGGGAGGCTGTCTATGCTGTGCTGATACTAAACATCAGCTGTGGTCCAGTCTCCAGGGAGTTCCTGCATCTTTCAGACTGGTTTTAAATCATTTTTTTCCAACTCCGGACCACTCTTAATTGACTGATGCCAGCATGGCCTCCGGCCTCTGTTTAAATTTGCACCACATCCAGGGTTGCCAACTTTGTAATATTTAAATACCAGATACATCAGCAGGAGTGCTGGAACCTTTGCTGCCCCGCCTATTCCCCAAAGCCCCACTGCTTCCCCAAGGCCCCACCCCTCACCCTGAGGCTTCACCCCCCATTCACTCCTCTTTCCCTTCCCCCCATTGCTCACTGGCCCAAGTTTGGAGGGACTCGCCTGCAGAGCCGGGGCTGGGAGCTGTAGTCGCCCAACACAGGTAGGAGGTGGCCCTGGCTGAGTAGGGGCTGATGTTGGTGATGACTTGGTGCCTCCACACCTGCATTTACCGGATTTTGGGTGCCAGTCAGTAGATCTCACCGGACACTGTCAGGTCCCCTGTTTGACTGGACTTTCTATTTGAAAACCAGACACCTGGCCACCCTAGCCACATCATAATCCTTCAGTCACCATAAACAATACTGCGACACTGGCAGGCCAAATGCCAGCTCTTGCCCAGGCTGCACACATTAGCTAAGATCTGACCACCTGATGCCATCAAGGCCTCCAGCCTCAGTTTAAATTTGCACTACAGTTAACACCAATATGTTAGTTATGCTCAAAATAGGTATTAGTCTTATAAGACTGCATAGGCGCCGACTTCCCCTCTGGGGGGGTGCTCGACTCCCCCCCCCACCCCAGATCCTTCCCCCACCTCCATCCCTTCCCCAAAGCCCCTGCCTCTACTCTGCCCCCACCCCTACTCCCCTCCACCCCTTCCCCAAAGCCCCTGTTCATTCTGCCCCCACTCCATCCCTTCCCCAAAACCACTGCCTCTTCCTGTCCCACCCCACCTCTTCCCACCCCTGCTCCACCCCCACCTTGCCTCTTCACCACCTCTTTCCACCCCCTCCCCTGAGTGCACCTGTCCCCACTCCTCCCTCCCAGAGCCAACCTACACACTGCAAAACAGCTGTTTGCAACAGGCAGAAGGTTCTGGGAGGGAGCGGGAGGAGTGATCAGCGGGGCCACCAGCGGGGGAGAGGCACTGAGGGGGCGGGTGGGGCAGGGGGGAGCTCAGCTGCGGGTGGGTGCTAAGCACATGCTAATTATTTGCTCTGGAGCACCCACGGAGTTGGTGCCTATGTAAGAATGTATTTTGACTCTATGAAATGCTTGTAAGTTGTTGGATGCATTAATCTCACTTGTAATGTCTGTATTCCCTGCTATAAGAAAATACTTAAGCTTTGCTTTATAACATTGAAAATGTTTACTCTGGACTTGTGAACTCAGGCATGGGTCCCCTTCCTCCCCACATCCAGAATGGCTGTCAAAATAAAATGGGTTATCAAGGACCATTGCAATCTGAAGGATTGGTTAATGACCCAATTACACCTAGGAAATGCTAGGTGCTAGGAAGCTTATCTGTGGGCATAAAAGCTGAATGAAGGAAATAAAACAAAACCATAGGAAAATTTCTCATCTTTCTGGCTGTTTGAACTCTAAAGGACCAGAGACTCTAAACTGAAGCCAGAGATCCCCAGGAGCTGCCTCCTGGATTGCCCTGAAAGACATTTTGAATGGACAGATCACTCCAAAAGTAACCTTTGTATGATGTGATTTTTGGTGTAAGTGACCATTTATCAGTAAGTCTAGTTTGTCTGGATGGCAAGATAGACTGAAAGGTTTAAGGGGACTGTCTGTGACTCCATGGCAGAATTGTTAGTGATCCAAACTAGCATGGGTGTCTGGAGGAGCAGAGCAGCTTCCAGGACTGGGGCCTTCCTGAAGAAAGATCATGTAAGTCACCACATGGAACGGGGAGTCAGAACATCTGTTTGTTTCTTTTGCTTTTTTGTGGCATTCACATTACAGCACTGTACATCACAACTTTAGAAGTTTTGCAATGCAATTCTAGGCTCTGGTACATCTGTTGAGCCACACATGAAACCCTATTTGAAATCAAACTTGGAACAATTCTAACTTTGTCTTTCCCCTCCAATATTGTTTAGTCTCTCTGCTGCCAATATCTCACACATTAGCTACCATACATTTCTGCTAGTGGTTTAGAGGCTGCAATTTTAGAGAATGACATAGCAGCTGTTTCCAAGATTATTGTCTAGTGGATTATAGCCAAAGACTTTGATATTCATGAAGATGCAAGACAAACTGTGCCAGCTGGAGACTAGCACCACTGTATACTTTGCCACAAAATATACTTCACTCTTGAAGGGCTTTTTATTTTTGCATTTGATAACATGCTCCAAAACTAAATTACCATCACTTAAAATAACCAATTTTAAAAGTAAAAAAAAAAGTAAGTGTGTGTGTGTATATACACACACACATGTGTACACTAGTTACATGTATTTTTAACTTTCCATAAAAAATCATCTTTAAAAATTTCTAGGCCAAATGGTAAACACCTTTTAAAAAGACTCCATAAAGATTAGGCAATTATTTTAAATTAACTTATTTTCAGTGCAGCTGTCTTGGTACAGTGGCGTAGTTTCCACAGTAGGAGTAAGCTATGGGTCACGCTGGAAGATAACGGGTGGTGGTTCTCTACCAAGCTCTGCCTGTGTGAATCATTAAAATGAAATACTCCTCACAGTAGGCTGTGCAGATGCTCAAAATATGATTGTGTGCACTCATCTGAGCTTCACAGGGCTTTCGGCTTGGCTTCCCATTGATATACCCATGGGAAGATGCCCATGTATGCTGCTAGGATCCTTGGACATGCCTCTTTCTTGATTGGGGGGTCCAGAGGGGGGAAAAAAAAAAATCACATCTTTCCATGTAAATTCTGCAGATTCATGATCTTCCCTCTCCTGCCTTAGGTGAGGAATGGAATAGTTACCCAGTGAGGATTTAAGTATCAGTATGGTTATTTGAGTTCACATCCCTTAGAGCTATTGTTCCAGTCTCCTCTCTGCATCAATTACACACTGTTCAAATACTTTCACAATACAGGGTTTCTAGGCTAGTAGATGGGGGAAGCTGCAGACATATTTTGATTTTAGTAATTTTTTGAGTCCCACATTACATTTTCATAACCAAACTAAAGAAATGCGGTCTATGTGGTCTACAAAGTGGGTAGACAACCAGTCGAAAAACCATACTCAAAGAGTAGTCATCAATGGTTTTCTTTGAAACTCTGAGGACACATCTAGTAGAGTCCTACATGGGTCTGTGCTCGGTCCAGTATATCAATATATTCATTAACGACTTGGAGAATATGCTTATAAAAGTTGTAGATTATACCAAGATGGGAGGACAGAATTAGAATTAAAATCCTTTTGAATTCTAATTGGAAAATTTGTTTGAAATCAACAAGATGAAATTCAATATAGACAAGTGAAAAGTACTACCCTTACAAAGGAAAAATAAATGCCGAAATACAAAATGGGAAATAACTGGCTCATCGTGGCTCAGGGTCATAGTGCATCACACATTAAATATAAGACAATAAAATTCAATTGCAAAAAAGGCTAATATTCTAGGATGTATTAACAGGAATGTTGTATGTAAGCCACAGGAAGTAATTGTTCCATTCTACTATGCACTGGTGAGACCTTAGGAGAAATACACTGATGCCCAACACTGGATACACTTTAACAAAGATGTAGACAAAGAGGCCAGTAAAGAGCAACAAAAATGATAAAAGGTTTAGAATACCTGGCTTATGAAGAAAGGTTAAAAAAACTGGCCATGTTTAATCTTGAGAAAAGAACACTGGAGGGGAATACCTAATCATAGTATTCAAATATATTAAAGGCTGTTATAAAGAGGATTGATCAATTGTTCTGCATATCTACTTGTCTTACCTTTAATAATTGGCTTAATCTGCAGGAAGGTTTAGGTTAGACATTAGGAAAATCCTTTTAACTATACAAAGAGTTAGGTACTGGAATAGATTACCAAGGGAAGTTGTGGAATCCCTGTCACGGCAAACTCTTGTCAGGGACCATCTAAGTATGTCGCACATCAGTGGAGGGGGACAGAGTAGATGACTTTTTTAGGTTCTTTCTAGCCCTACATTTCTTTACAAAAGGTAAGATTCTAGAGTACAAGATATCAGCGTGAGAGATGTGCTGGTATGCCATTCTGCCACATAGTAGATGAAGCTTTTGAATTAGCACATTATTCTCTTCCTTTCCAAGTGGCTTTTGAGGGCACTGAAGGCATGAATTTAAGATTTTTTTTTTCTTCGAAGACATTTGAGAGTGAAATTAGTGCTTCTGAGAGTAAAAGACTAAGTGAACTGGATTGGGTGAATCTAAGTGCAGTCTTTGACACAACTTTATTGCTGTGACATGTATGTCAAGGCTACCTGCTACAGAAGATCCTACTTATCACCATGTTTTAAATTAGTAGGAGTCCTTTAAGAAAGGCCCAAGGAAGAACTGCTGGAACACTATCACACGAGTT